GAGAAGTTACATGGATGATCAAATTTCAGAAAAAATGCAGAAGGTAACACTAGTGCAACAAGATCAGCTGTTCTTTTTGCTTTTGTGTTCACCCCAAGGAAGCTCACATCAGTTCCTTTACTAGAACCCTTCTTTACCAAGATTTCAAAGAAACTCATGACACGAAGTATCAGTAGCAGAGGTCAGGAATCAGAGACGAAACAAAGAGCAGAGCTGGCTGGGCAGGCAGCCCATTGAAGTTTAAGGATAAGAAGCAGTATGTCCAACCTACTGATAGTGCTGTGAAGTTTGTCTTCAAAATCGCCTCAGGTCCAGAGGCATAAAGGTACCTAACATGATGCCAATCCTCCTGATGTGTGTACTGGACAAGTTGTTAAAAACTACTGTACAGGAACAGAGGTAGTGAACACAAATATAAACACAATGTGTTAAAGGAGAAGCGAACACAGCTTTTGTAAAGTCACATCATTGTAAATCCATTAGAATATTATTATTATTAAGTAATCAGTAGGCAATCAGATGATTGAAAGTCAGTTGATGCAGTCTGTGGATTTGCATTTGACAAGATCTCACACCACAGTCTCTTAACTAACAAACTTAACTAACAATGGGTAGAAGAGAAGGCCCTCATGGCTCTTTCTAAAGAATTTAAAGGAAAATATTAAGCAGTGATCAGGAACAAAAGGACATATCCAAAGTCAAAAGGTTTCTAGAGAAATCCTGATGAGATCCCCACTTGGACTTGTGCATTTTATCCATATATGATCTACAGCAAGAGAAAAGCATGAAATGGCAACAAATGTAAAATAGTTCTTTGAGTAAAGATCTTGCAAAACTGAGCTGATGCCCAGCAGGTGTGGAAGTAAAAGATGAAATTCAGTTTCAAGCAATTAAAAATAATTCAGCTTCTGCAAATGCATTACAAAGCATTACAAAAGAAACATCTTGGAATTAAAACAATTATTTCTATGGCAGTATTAATTCATCGCTCAGTAGCGCTCCAGAATCCCAAATGCAACTTCATGAATAACCGTAAAAGGAACAGAAAACAAAACAGAAACAGTGCCTTTAAGTCTTAGACATCCTGTGCACTTCTGGTTCTAGAAGCTCAAAATGGCATAGCTGAAATGGAAACAGTACAGAACAAAGGTGACCAGAAGAATTAAATTCATCCTAGAGCAAGGTATAAGAAAACAGAACAGGATATTATAAGTTTGCAGTAGAAACACTTTGGGGGAACACAGGAAAAAAAAAAAAAAAACACACAAAAAAAACCCAATATGACGGCTATATAGAAGTTAGGGAATGAGTATTTACTGATTTTCCCTGTAAAAGAACTAAAAGTACAAGAAGCTGTTCCAGTACAAGAACTAAAAGACATAAAAGTGAAACTACCGGACTATCAGCAAGGCAAAGGTCATCTCCTCTTGCAGGAAACACCCTTCTACAGGATGCAGTAGATGCTAAAAGTTCAGATGGCTCCAAAACACACCTGAACAAAATGATCAAACTCTGCCTAGAGGTACGCAGCACAAAGGCATTATCTGGGGTATGGGTCCTAGTGAGTTCTAGACTGCCAGATACTAAGAACACATCTGAAAACCTCTCTCCTGCTTTTGTGCTTAAACTTTTCTTCAACTGCCTGCTTTGAGCCACCACTGAAAAAGCAGGAGAGCAGGAGATCCTTCACATTCATCCAGCAGACACTATCATGCCACAGTTCACACTCATGTTCCTGTGCAAAAGGTCATTGTAAAAACACTTATCTGACCAAGAAACATGGAGTAAAACAAGTTGCTGCATCCTTAAAATATTAACCTTGGGCCAGCAGGACAACTTGACATCAAGCAATGCTGTCAAACCACATATTAGATAAATTACTACTGATCTAGATAGCCAACTACAATACTAGCTATGTACAGCTTCTACTAGTAGAAATACTAAACAACTACATTTCATACCACTATGCACATACACTGACATCAAGCTACATCTCCTCCATCACATTTGATGAAAAGGACAAAGACAAAACATCAACAAGAAGATTACGGACTGAATGTCGCAAAGAGTTATCCAGAACAACTTCTTACTTATCTTCCCCATTTTACCTTCTATTAATTGTGTCTAGGCTCCTAAGATTATTTTTCTAATACCAATGAAAATTAGTAGAATAAAACGCTAAAAAGATTAAATACACCACATATCTAGTTTTAAATAAATTAATTCATACCTAAGAAGTCTGTGTTAAAACTGTTCCTAAAAACCACCCATGACAGAAGTCCTACATTCTCTCAGAGCATCCTAAGTGGCTAAGAGAGTTAACTGCATTAAAATGCTCCCTAATTTTCAGATCATCTCCATTATTGCACTTTCTCTCTCATACATTAAAAATATAAGACTCATGGCAGGAAGCTGTTGTCATACGTATGGACGAAACTTAAAGCTTAACTTATCACCTTCATACTCAGATTACAGAATGTTGCTTTTGCTTGATAATTAAAATTTGTTTTGTTTTCAGTTCTTTTTGTGATCTATCATGTTTACATGCCTCCTAGGAAAAAAAAAAAGAAAAAACAATTATAAAATAAACAAAAATACTTTCCATTATATCCATTCTGAAATCTAAGCCACATTCAGTCAATTATTTTCACTTTCTTTTGTGGTAATTGAACACAGAAACACTAAAACAATCAGCAGGAAAAAAGTCAGGGCCAGAACGATACTGTAACATTTCAAGTGAATTCCTACAATATGTTATCTGCCATGCTTTCTTCCTTAACAGAAGTAGTCAATGTTAATATGACTTAATGAAGAATCCTGACAACTTCATCATATTTCTGAATTGAAATGACCTGATTACAATCTCCTTGAAGCTACTATTTACATTTTAATAAAGGCCTATTATTACAGTTCTTTAATGGCTCAAAAGCAATCAAATAACTCTGAAAAACAACCAGAGAGCAAAAGATATTACACCTAGCGATGCAAATTCGACAAACGCAGACAACGTTCTCATGCAGCAAAATTTAAAATTTAAAGAACAAACTTCCTGCTCCAAACAGGGAAAAAAAGGAACACAACTGCAGCCTTGGACACACTTTTAAGACTGCAAAGAACCAAATTCCTAGCCTTCACCTCCCTGCCACACATTTCTACCATGTCTCCAAAATTCTACAGTTTTAACTAAACATCTGCAACAACCTCACCTTGGGTTTTATCAGTGCCTAAAGCATTACTGTTCTTCATAAAAAAAGCAACAGAATCCAGAGTTCCTTGGGTAGGTCCTTCACCTTTCACCAAAGTCCAGCATACTCAAGAATTGTGTTCACGTTAGTATCTGAACGATTGGAATATTTAATCAAACTTATTATTACACTATTCTTTGATGTCTATCAAACACTAATCAGGCAAGAGAAGTGCTGTACATATTGTCTCAAAACACTGTTCATTTTTCAGCACTGAAACTGGAGTAGACTAAACAATTTCATAATGCTTCTTTTCAGAAGATGCAATTGGAGTCAGCAATTTAAATGGTCACAAAAAAGTATCTTAAAAAAAAAAAAAAAAAAGAGAGTACATCACCTATTTACACAATCTCTTTTGTGCATCCCTTTTTGTATATATCCCTTTTATTTCTCTCAGTTGACACAAACTAACTTATCATAAAAACAGACTTTATTCATGACTCCTCAAGACAAAGCCTGCCTTCTGAAGAAGCTGAGGCATGCACTTTGCAGACTGGGAACAGAGATACATTGAGGCTGTAATCACTTTGGGACTCTGCACTATTTTGATCAAATGTATACTGTCTTCCTCCTCACTTCCCCCTCCCTCCTCACCACAGATCTGTACCTGCACATCTTTGATCTGCCAGCACTGCTACATACATCATTGCTCCCTGGCTGAAATCTGGAGCGTGGGCTAAACTAAATTACAGTTACTGTGACCTATTGGCCATGACTGCAGACAGCAATTATGGACAGGCAGGTGAGGGCAAAGTCTCAGAGGAAACAAGCAGCTAAGAAAGGAACTCTTTATCACCTAGATATTCCATACACTCTTGATCCATTGGCAAAGGATTGAGAAAAATAACAGAGGAAAAAGTAGGAGGAAATGACTGATTTCTTGTCTCGTTGCTTCTATTCCTTTTGTACTTCAGTGGGAGCTGGAACCAGTCTGCTTGGTCCTTACCTAACACCAGCTGTGAAAATGTTTGCCATTAGAACAACTTTTTCTGATGAACCCTATTGAAGCACTGAGCTAAAATATGGCCCTCTCTATAAAAATCTTAATTTCTGTCAAATGTGAAGAGAGAAAAGGTAGCAGAGCCCAAACAGTTTGACAGAAAAATCTTGCATTACAGAAAGACAAGAGTAGAAGAGGAATTACCTTCAGGATATTCCTCTTTGTTTAATCTCCCATTTTTCCAGGGTAGGTGGCTGAATGTTACAAAGCAAGGTTGCCACAATTTAAATGGTCTCTATTACCAAACATATTCATAACCATAAATTAAAAAATGAGGATGATACATTCAGAACAGGCAGCTTCAAGGCAGAATTCGAGAGTATGAAGCAAAAACCTTCTAAAACACAGTTTAAACCAACAGTCTTAGCAGTTAGCTTAATACAAAGTGCTGCTGAGAGGATATATTGTTGTCATTAAAAATGATCATTTAACTATTGTAAAACCAACAGCAAACCTAGCTTAAGTCCAACATTCTTCACAAGTGCACAAAAAAAACCCAAACAAGATTACCAGAAGCCCTTCTCACAGTAAAATACTAACTAAAATATTTCCAGAGTTGCTACAAACACAGAAACTTGCTTCCCAGAAACTATCCTATTTGCTTTAAACTACATAAAGAAAATTTAACAATATTTCGCCCTGCTCAGCTACTCACAAATCAAATCTCCGTTCTTATCTGCATACAGCCAGCTGGTTTTTAAAATTCTGCTGTAATTGAGGGAAAAACAATTAAGCAATATTATTAACCATCTTACCATTGTTCCCTGGTGGTTGTAATGCATCTCCTGTCAAGCTACACCATCCAACTGGGAAAATATCACGAGAATCACATCTGCACCAATAGTCAAATGCTCCTCTCCAGCCATCAAAAGTAACAAAAACTTCATCTCCTTTAACATCTCCAATGGTTGCTGGGCAAATCAAGTATGGGTTCTTTCTGTCTATGGCTTCAAGCTTCATTCCAACTTTAAAGCAGTTTGTGGCAGGTTTGGGTGGTTCCTACAAAAGTAAGATTGGTAGAATATTTGTGTTCGTATGATCCCTTAAAAACAGAAGTCAGAAAACCTCTATTTTTTCTTCAACATTCTTATTTCTGAGTACTATCAAAAAGTTACAGTGGATATTCAAAGAAACTCACTGGTGTGTCACATTTGCTTTTCCTCTCGTGCTTCATAAAAATCTAGATTCTGTTCCCACAAACACAGTTGGGATAATTAGCAAAATTCCTGATGACAGCAAGGCTGTGCAGAAAGTATTTACATAAGCAATAGGTTGCACCCAATACATTATGCCTGGGCAGCAGGACAGCAAAGGCACTAACGTGAAATTATCACATGCTAATAAAGAAGAGAAGATTTGCAGGGAATGGGTATTTCTGGGGCTGATAAATGTCTGGTAAAAGGCTTCATCTCTCAATTAGTCCATGAAAAATTCATTAGCATTGGACATTATTTATAGGCCTCTATTAACCAAGCCTGACTCAAACCAATTCCAAGTGGACAAAAGAGAAACAAAAATCAAGTCAACAAGAAAAATAACAAGCAAAAATGTACCTACAGTGCAGAGGTGGTGACATAAGGGAGCCTGCACTACCACCTCAACCTTAGGAACCTCAGCCTCCAAAAAACAATCATCTCAGTCATGCTGATAGGCTACCACAGGGAAGTTTGGTTCAACACACCTCAGAAAACTACATAAAGTTAATCACGTAAGTAACATGGCAGGTCAGGAAATGAACTCTCTCTTACTGACATACATTTATATGTCATTCCCAGTATCAGAAATGAAGCCATTCTCTTTGGCAGCACCGTAACAAAAAAAAATGAAGATGTCATTTTAATATTACTATTGTTCTATATGTACTTTTTCGTGTTTCAGTGCAGTTTACTTAATAGTTTAAAAAAAACAAAAACAGGCAGAACAGCTTTTTCTACTGTCAACAACTTTCTCATTAGATTTCAAATGATGAGTAATGCACCCAATTAAAACATTTAACAAAATGTTTCCAAGCACTATTTTATTCCAACGATTCCTTTTCTAAGAAAAAAAAATTTACTCTTGTGCATAATCACAACACGAGTATGATGCTTTTAAGAAATGTGAGACAAGGCATCATGTCTTCAATCCATGACACAAAAAGCATGCTAACATTTTTCTAAATAACACAGCAAACTTTAAAAGTCTCGACTCAGAAAAGGAGATACCCATCCAATGGACTGGAAGCAGACCACTTCTTCTCTAGTTTTGTACCTTGCCAATCCATTTCAAAGCAGTTTTAAATAACAGTTGCCTTCTTGTGCTGCAGCCAATAGGCAATATCTGGGCATTTTCACTAAAAAATGCAACCAGAGATCAATGGATATAAGCACGTATACTAGCAGACCTTTTCTCCTTACCTTCTTAAAGAACGCCGCAGGCGCCATTTCAGCTCCATTTAGAGTTCTTAAGAGAAACATTGGCCAAGAAGATGCATTCATCTGGAATCCTAAGTAACAAATAAATTACTTGTGTATAACATCCCTACATTCAGTTTGTAAAATACGGGAGGAAAAAGATGTAAAATTGGCTTTACTACTGCCTGACTCCCTCTATTTTGGACTTGGAGAGACAAAACAGAAGTAACCAAGAAGGCCCAAATAGAGCAGCTGTTGGTACAGAAATCTGCGCACTGCATGCCCACTTTGAGTGGTTTGCTTACAGAATCAGTCACTGTTAGTTTGTGATTTGATAGATAAACATTTAAGACTGTCCAACATATGATTTCTAGCACAGGAGATGACCAGGTCATCCCACAGTCCCTGCCTCACTGGAACTTCCCAAGCAGAATGAAACCAGAAATAACTCAGCTTACTTTACAAGGCCACTTCTCATTCTCAAATGACTTCCTCAGCTCCAGATTCCTTCATTTACTGAAGAGAGACTCTTATTTTCAAGGCTGTTTTAAATCTTTCATCAGATCAGAAAAGATGATGACCAATTGGTTTCTTCTCCCCCAACCATAAAAATAAATAAATATTCTTAACAAAGAACATATAATAGTGAAGCAGAAACATATAATGGCTGCAATAGATGTGTATATCATATTGAAAAACACAAACTAGATGTTTCTACTCTAGCATCCTTCATTAAACAAGTGAATAAAAAGTATAAACAGTAATCAGATTTGTTCAGCTGAACTACTTGATACAAGCAGAACAGATGTTTGGCTGAAAATATTCTCATTCCAGATAATCTTCCTTCAGAATCAACTACTTTCCAATTAAAAAAAAAAAAAAAGCATAAACCAAAACCAAAAATATCCCCTTTACACTGTTTTACTCCATCTTTTACAGGTACATGCTGGGCACAGTTTTACAGGCAAATAGACATAGAGAGAATTGGAAATCTCTCCATTAAGCAGTTACTACCAGAATCTGCCAGGAACTGATGAGCTCCCTCACAACTGAACCATGAAGAGCCTCTTGGAAGAATGCCACTAGAAAGGTGGAATGTATTCACAATTCTTGATCAGTTAAATCATTAAGTAATCTACAATTAAATTACGTGGATTATATTTTGTAATTGCTCTTCAAATTACAGCTTTCAGCTATCTTTAGCCGAATAAAAGTTTATGCACTGGAACTACCTACACAACACCTAAATTAATAAAAAGCTCACAACTGAGAAATGGTGTCATAATTTGAAGACTACTGAGCTGATAATCATTCTTGGTTTCATACCAGAGTCTTTACACAGTCTAAAGACATGTGATTACTGAAATACAATATTCCTAACCAGCTAGCACAGAAAAGACACGTACACAAAGAAAGAGGAATGAAAACTAAACAGTTTCAATCAACTTCACTTGGCCTATGAATTGTGCTGGTAAAAACACAGTAAATATTACCTTTATCAGAATTTGCTGAGAACATTAAGTTCTCAAAACCATAAAAGATCACCTATGTAAAACAGAAGACAAAACAGGAACCCTTTCCTACATTAATCATTTTCTAAAAAACCTTATGTAACATACATAATTAAAGCTATGCAAAGATGAGGTAGGAGGGAGTATTTTAACTTGTTATTATGAGAGAAATAGAACATTAGTATCCAGAAGGTTCTCTACCACTCAGGAAAAAAATAAAATAAAATCAGTTGCTTAAATGTCTAACAGGAGGTAATTATACACCCAATTAGCTCCCAGCTTTGCCCAGGAACAGGATGCTGTAAAGCTGCCAAGAAGGCTTTTTCAAAAATTTATCTAGGTATGCCAGAATGCTTCATCGCTGGAGTTCAGCCTATCTCCAGAAAAATCTAAGACAGGAGGGAAAAATAATGGCATTTGCATTCTTTTCTGAATAACTGCAATTGTTCTGAGGGCAGGTAAACTTACATTCCTGGATGTAGGGAAACATCTGCTTGTTTGGGGCTGCTCTAAAAGTAGCCTGCGCCAACAGAGTAAAAAACAGTATCCAAAGAAAAGGCATCAACCCTTCAACTACTGATCTCAGAAAGTTTCTCTTCTTAATGGCTCAACTTTCTTCATTACTCAGAATCCAGAGTTGCTTAATTCATCAGGGCCAGTTTAGAAACACATTTCTAAAAAAAAAAAAAAAAAAAAAAAAAAGCACTGCGATCTTCACAGAATCACCGAATCACCCGGGTTGGAAGGGACCTCAAGGATCACGTAGTTCCAACCCCCCTGCCTAGCAGGGCCACCAAACGTACACATTCAGATCAGGTTGCCCAGGACCCCGTCCAACCTGGCCTTGAACACGTCCAAGGACGGGGCATCCACAACCTCCCTGGGCAGCCCGTTCCAGGCCCTAACCACTCTCCTTGTAAAGAACTTCCCCCTAACATCCAACCTAAATCTTTCCTCCTTCAACTTGGATCCATTTCCCCTAGTCCTGCTGTTGTCAGCCCTTCTGAAGAGTTTACTCCCCTCCTGGGTGTAGGTTCCCTTCAGGTATTGATAGGCTGCAATGAGGTCACCCCGCAGCCTTCTCTTCTCCAGGCTGAACAAGCCCAACTCCCTCAGCCTGTCCTCATAGGGGAGGTGTTCCAGCCCCCTGATCATCTTAGTCGCCCTCCTCTGGACCCTTTACAAGATCTCTATGTCTTTCTTGTACTGAGGGCTCCACACCTGGACACAGTACTCCAGATGGGGCCTCACAAGAGCCGAGTAGAGAGGGACAATCACCTCCCTGTCCCTGCTGACCACCCCTCTCCTGATGGAGCCCAGGATCCCATTTGCATTTCGAGCTGCCAGAGCGCACTGCTGGCTCATGTTCAGTCTCTCGTCCATCAGGACCCCCAGGTCCTTCTCTGCCGAGCTGCTCTCAAGGACAAGCTTTTCTTGAAGAAAAGCTATACGTCACACATACATACAGCTGAAAGAGTAGATACGCTCTTTTCTTTTACAGCCCTTGTTCATGTTGGTATGGCTGCATTCATTCTAGAAGGTTCTACGAAGAACCTTCAGAGAGGCTAAACAGTCATTTCTCAAAAACAAAATAAAAATAAATCAGAATCTTTTCCCTTCAGTGTCAAGAAATGCCAATGTTTTCATTCAAGCCCTCTACATTCACAAGAAAAAGCCTTTTTGAGCTGAGACTGTATCTATCTCAAATAATACCTTTGGTGGACTGGTATTCTAGCTGCATTATCTTACGTTTCTCTAAAGCAGCACAACAGCACAAAAATATCTACCCTCACAATCTACATGAAGCAACTTACTGCTTAAGTGAACTCCCGCTGTATCAGTTTGCCTGTCTCCAAGCTAATCAAGTTTTGCACTGCAATGAAATTACACTTTCCACTTTACTTTTCTAACAGAAGATCTGAAATCTATTAACAGAAGAGTTTCCTCAGGTCAGTAAGAGAAAGCACAACCACCTTCCCAACCTCAGTGATTCCATAATTCCATCAGAAGAAGTTGGAAAAATTTCTTCTCTGAAAGAGCGGTGAGGCAGTGGCACAGGCTGCCCAGGGCAGGTGGTGGAAAAAAAGGGTATCTGATACACTAAGTGACATGGTTTGGTGGTATGGTGGTTATAGGTTGATGACAGGACTAGGTGATCTTTGATTAATTAAGATGAAAGTTGGTCATTATTTTTCCCGTTTTTGAAAAGCAGAACTATTTTCAAACTAATAAGAAACATCATTTTATTTAAAGATTTCTGTACCCAGAAGTGTAAGCTCTACGAAACACAGTAGAAAAATGTAGATCTAAATATACAGATTAATCACAGCAGAGAAAAATGATGCCACAGTTATATTACTCACAGTAGTTGGTCAAAATTAATTTTGAGTATTCATTGTGTAGCAAGGAATTCCTTTGTATAGCTCCCTGTTTAATAAACTTCCTCAATTAGTTTTCACTAAGCTCAAGCACTACTTCTCAGTTTGGGGAGGCATACTGTTGTGGCTCATACTGCTCATGGAAGGCAAAAAAAAAATGAATCTGCAGACTATTTCTCAGCGTAGGACATCTGAATCCTTGCTCATGAGCATTTGTCGTGCTCGCAAACCACTCACAACAAATTGATCAAACATCCCCCTCTTGTGTCAGCTTGAAGAAATGAGAAACACACGCAGTTTGCTACAGCCCTGGAGCGCCCCTTTCCTGATGCAATATTGTTGTTCGCTTTCCCAGATTGCAGTTTGTTTGGAGCACTCAAGAAAATGGAGTGCTTGATTCAGGTTGTCCTGAACTGTACACACTTCATGCAGTCCAGCTGAGCACTGCACACTTGGCTTAATAGCAAGTGTCTTCTACTGGGCCACTCCACCTTACTGAAGAGGAAAAAAGGATATTTTGCCTTACCCAAAATTTAGTCCTTATTAAGTTCCACTAAAAGGGACATGGACAACAACAACAAGCAATAAAATATTGTATCCATACACACTCATAAGGTAGGGTGTGTATATCAGTGAACAGTTTCAGAATGGGCACATGACAGTATCTCAGTATTACAAAAACTGACAGGCACTACAATTTAATACTAAGAGACTTAATTAAGTAACTAAAGCCAAAAAGCAATTATTCTGCTCATTCTTATTTCAAAAGACTAACCTGATCAAAAAAGAAGGAAAAAGTCACAATCCACTTACCCGAAATTAGTTCACTTACCTCTCCTTTAGAGTCAAATAATTCTTTGGTGACATGTTAGTACCACTGAATTTGCCAAGACAAAAACACCAGCTCTGCTCCATAGACATTAGTTCAGAAGCTTTGTTTCTTACCAAGTGGAGGCTGCAGCATGCCCCCCTTCTTCTCACAGGTCCCGATGGGCTGTATGTCTGAGGAGTCCACCAGCCTCCAAAAATCATTTTTGTTGTCACTTCCATCGAGTCGCAACCTTAGCCTGGCCCCAGTGATTCCAATTATCGTAGCTATGCAAACCGAGGTAACGTTGCGAGGATCACGGGCTTCCAGTTTCATGCCAACTTTGAAATCATTTGTAGGTGGAATTCTGGACTACAGTAAGAGATAAAAGACTTTTTGTTGTTGTTTGCATTGCTAAATTGCCAGCCAGTTCAATATACAGCTTTCATTCATCCAGATATTTCATAGAAGTGGGTAAATATAAAGAAGCCTTTGAACTTCCAGCGTTTAGCAGTAAATCAGAAAAGGAGATTGGACAACCTCCCAGCAGTATAATTTCAAATATTTGATGCTTCTGCTGCATAAACACAACTGATTTTTTAAAACATAGGCAGAGCCAGGATGGGTAAGACGGAAATATTGCAAAAATATGAATACAAAGATGGAGGAGGAATGAATAATACTCGAAGCGAATGGGAAACAAAAACAAGAATATCAGGAAACATGACAACTCTTAAAAATAGATAAAGAAATAAATACCAGAGCAAACAATATTTATTAGTTTTTAACTCACAAGAAACACAATAATATTTTGCAAATTAAAACAAAACTTGGATGCTCTTGTGCTAGGCACAATGAAGGTTTCAGGCAAGAATGTTTCTTTACCAAAAAAAGCTTACAGTACAAAGAAAGAAACAGAAAAAGGAATTAATGTTAAATGCATTTTAAAGAAAGGAAACAGTCTACAGTCACATAAAACTGTGCAAAGACAGGAACTGCAGCTTGAGCTTATTCACAGCGAACTGAGTACATTCACACACACACACACACACACACACACACACACACACACGCTTGAAATGCCAATTTAATTAACAGGCATCAGATTCTTGGAAAAAAAGATGCCAGCACAAGGAAGAGATGATGAATGCAATTTGGTCTTTCAGCTGAATTTTTTTGTTACAAATTAAAAGTTAAAAAAGGAGAATATTCTTTAGTGAGCTATTATGAGGAACACAGAGAAGTTCACATAACAACAAACACAGGCAGAGATCAGCTGGATTACAGTCCAAATGCTTGCCTAATGGAACCCTGTAGGCAACAACATTACCTTACAACAATCACAATCTTGTATCAAGACTAACTGGTATTATATGACTCACCTTGGCTCTAGTGAGATTCTAGAACAATCTCAAGGGAAGTAGAAAGATATCTCCTCACTTTCAGCCCGAATTTATTTGTAGAAACTTTTACCAATACTGTACTTCCAGTTCTCTCTACATCTTTGAAAACACGAAAAAAATCTGCAGTGCATTTCCATGTAGCAACCTGATCCCTTCTGATCAATCCTTCCTCAAGTTAAACAAGCCAAACACTGAGGTTTCTCGTAGGAGAGGAAGACTTCTCCTGGAAGCCTGCCTCTATACCTCATCTAGGTCAAAGCTGCTCCCAAAAGCAGATGCCAAAAATGGCAGCCTTCCACTTGCCATTTTACCCCTGCAGCTAACACAACCTGAAACACAGGAGGCAGGCAGAGGGCTCACAAACATGGGCATTCACATTCACAAGATTCACACATCCCTTGCCACACCTGTCTGGTCAGGTCTGGTAGGGAACTATACTAAGTATGCAGGGTGCACCTGTATGCCTGGGTACACAGAAAAGGGCTGAGGAATTCTGCTACCTAAACAAGTATTGGTGATATTTTGCCTCCACAGCACTTAATAATTAAAAACGTATCTTGCTCTGTCTTTTCGATGGCGTGCAGGTGCAGTGTTCCAAGCAGATCCCAGATCAACAGCAGGAGCCCTGGAGGAGCCAGAACTCAAAAACCAAGGAGACAAGCAATACTCAGTGAGCACTGAGGGCAGCATCTGCCAGAGCTGCATTTAGACAGCAGGCTGTCTGAAAGGGGAGACTGAGCATATTAAATTTAAAGGGCAATTCAATTTCAGGACATTGCTTGTCCAGCTGTTATTTTCTACAACCATGAAAGACAACTGAAATTGAAAAATTAGGGAGTTTGGTTTTTTTTGAAGGAAAAGTGAGCCTGTTTAAATAACAACAACTCAAGGCACAGTTCTAAAAGGTAACTCCTCCATACCAGTTCTTATCATGTAGTAAAATAATAAAACCAGCTATTTAAGAGCTTTCTTTGAAGCTTCTATCCTAACCCAAAGGGGCTGAGCTGTTAATATTTAAAATTTTCAGCTGCTTGAAAAGAAAAGTTTAGGGGTAAGAGAATGAGATGTAGAATGCTTCAGAATTTCAGGGAGTCATTAAAAATAACGAAGAGTGACAAAAAAATTCTAAATTAAGATAAATACTTTAATCAATTCCTATTAGCAGTCTATGCCTGTACTTTAACTTATGGTAGAGACTTCAATCTATTGCTCCCCAGGTCATTTTTAATTACTATAACATGTAATATTCCCACAAGTGACAATTTCTGGATATAACAGTCAAATAAAGCTCTCTGCTTGTTTTTTGGCTGGCCACAGCAGTGTCTTCCTTTCATTACACAGAGTGACAACAACATGTACAATTCATGTGTAACCCAGCAGTAGTCAAATTAGTCCTACATGAAGCTCAAGCACTTTAGTTTCTAAAATCCTCAAACATTAATTAGCAAGAAGAGCTGGCTCTGCAATAATTAACACTGCATATTACTTCCTACTTAAAGGTCAAATCCTACAAGTGTAGTTTGAATATGCAAATTGTTTGGAAATTAGCTATGCACAGACGTGAAGGCTCTTCTTTCCAACCCACACACTCGTAAAGTAAATCCAAGTCACTCAGATACATCTATCTTAGCCCATGTTATTTAAACACCTTTATTTGGGATGTTGTTTTGTTGTACGGTTAAGGCTTCCCAAGCATCATTTGCAAAGAAGTCAACACACAAAAGAGACAAGGAAAGGCTTCCGAGCAGCTTTCTGCTACAGCTACATATCTCAAGAGTGTATGCTCTGGTCATCGTGGTCTACAAGGTATGAATACAGCACTAACTTAGAATGACCAAGAAATAGACCACTGCCCTATTCCTACCCAAGCAGGGCTTGGGGTCTCCGCCTTGAGCTGGTATCTACCACAAAAAACACATACTGAGAATGATAAATTATAGGTGAGTCATCCAAAAATAGCCATAGACTTTGCTATTCTTAGCCCTCTCTCATTGAAAGCAGCACAAGAGAGTATTTTGTCCTTTATCCTCACCTCCTGAAGCGAAAGTTGAAATTCAAGACATAATATGAAGAAATGCTACCATCTGCTTTCATTTTTCTCTGTTCTCCATTCCTGCAAATTACTTCAGGTAACCAGTATGATGAATCCTCTCCTCATATTATTAGTCCAGGTCTTCAGATTATTCCTTTGTTGCTTTTTGCTTGGTCTCCACTGGAAGCCACTATCACAGTACTACGAGACTGCCAACAAACCCTAGAAGTTATCTTTCTGGACACTCCAACCCAGTAAACCATGTATACACTGCTTCTCACATAAATTATAGTTCTACCAACCTGAACTACCCAATTCCTTCAGCACCTATCTACTCAATTCATGGAAGGTGCACCTACTGAAACTCATCCTACATAATTTTTCACAGCTAAGTCAGACAATCCAACTTCGGAGCATACTGGATCCCAGCTGCTCCTACAGAAAGAAAAACGCCTTCAGAGATTGATTCATTCTCCAAAGAGCTGAATAAATGAAGATCATTAGCTCATACAAGATGGTAGAATTAAACTGCATCAGTAAATACATATAAAACCATCACGCAGGGGGAAATGAAACTTGTAGAGCACAACGTAAAGCAGCACACTAAATACCCTTTGTACAAACTCCTTAATATCTCTCACTGAATGACAACTAATACTGAATTCTAGTAACTTGAGACTGTAGTTACACATGCATACTCTTCAGTGACCTCATCTTTTTAATTCTTACATTTGAAACGCTTAACTTTAGTCACCCTCCATCTTTTGACAGCAGAAGTACACTAAGTTCAGGGACAAATTGTTTTCCTTATTATAGATCCAATATTTCCTTTATATTCTACCACAGAATGATTTCAGTTGAAGAAACCTTAAAGATCACCCAGTTCCAGCTCTCCTGCCAAGGACACAGACACATGCCACTAAAATAGACTGCCGAAACCCCCATGCAGCATGACCCTCAACTCTTCCAGCAATGGGGCATCCACACCTCCTTTGGGCAGCCTATTCCAGTGTCTCACCACCCTCACAAGGAAGTGTTTCCTCCTTATATTCAGTTTAAATCCACTGTCTTTTAGTTTAAAACCATTGTCCCTCCTGCCACTACAAGTTCTGGTAAAAAGTCTGTCCTATAAATTTTTTAATGTATTCTTTAAACTCCAGTACCTGTTATCACTATCTATTTTTGAAGCCACCATGCTACCAGAAAACCATAATGCAGTTGCCATCACTGAAATCTGGTAGGCATGGCCATCAATGACTACTAGCTGTTCAGGAGTTTTTCTGGTTGATCCACATGTAGAAGCCATTTTGTTCTTTCTTGCACTCCTTTCCAATCTAGCTGAGCCTAGCTGGGCTCAAGCAGTGGGCCCTGGAGAACCTCATAAGGTTCAATAAATCCAAGTGCTAGGTCTTTCAACTGGATCACATCAACCCCCACTACCAATAAAAGCTGAAGGACAAAAGGATGGAGCATAGCCCTGCCAAAAAGGACCTGAGGATACTAAGGGATGGCAAGCTGGACATGAGCCTGCAATGTGCCCTTGTAGACCAGAAAGCCACCCATATCCTGGGCTGCATCAAAAGAGGTGTGGCCAGCAGGGTGAGGGAGGTGATTCTGGGCTGGCGAGACCTCACTTGGAGTACTGCATCCTGATGTAGAGCCCTCAGTACAGGAGAGAGGTGGACCTGTTTGAGTGTCCAGAGAGACACTGAGAGAGAGGGGGCCTGTTCGGTCTGGAGAAGAGAAGGCTCTGAGGTGACCTGATGGCAGCCTTTCAATATCTAACGGGGGACTGCAAGAAGGGGACAGACTTTTTAGCAAGGTTTGCTGTGACAAAACAAGGGGAAGCAGTTTCAAGCTGAAACAGGAGATTCAGATTGGGCATAAGGAAGAAAGTTTTGTTTTGTTATTTTTTTATGATAAAGGTATTGAAGCTCTGGAACAGGATGCCCAAACAGCAGGTAGATGCCCTGTCCCTGGAGACATTCAAAGTCAAGCTGGATGGGGCTCTGAGCACACTGATCTAGCTGTAGGTGTTCCTGTTCTCTGCAGGAGAGTTGGACCAGATGACCCTTAAGGAACCTTTCCAACTCAAACAATTCTATGATTACACCTTGGTAAGAATCATCCTGATCTGAAAGAGTTAAAACACAACATACTCCATGGAACCACAGAATGATTTTTCACTGAGAGGTGGTGAGGTGCTGGTACAGACTGCCCAGAGAGGTTGTGGGTACCCCACCCCTGGATGCATTCAAGGTCAGGTTGGATGGGGCCCTGGGCAACCTGATGATCTAGCACATGATCTACTGACTACCCACTCTGCCTTTGGGGGGGAGGGGTTGGGGGGGGGTTGGAACTTGATGATCCTTGGAATCCCTTCCAGTCCAATCCGTATGATTTGAGTATTTGGGAGATTCAAAAAATAAGTGGTAAATAACTTTTCCAGCATGCACAAAAGTATATATACATACATTTTGTACATCTAATACCTAGCCAGAATTGAAAGTACTCCTACAGTTACAGATTGGTGGAAGGCTCCTTTCATTATCAGCTAAATTTTAATTTCCACAGTAATCCTCTAATATTACTAAAAAAATAAAAAAAATAAAAAAAATAAAAAAAAAAACAACCAGAAATTTTTTTTAACTCCAATGAGACGGTTCTATTTTGTTCTCTTTTAAAGAAAAAGTGAGTCCAAAGATACAGCTTTAATGAAACCCTCAAAATCTGGCTTGAGGCAGAAACCAAAAACGGAAAATTTCAGTTGCTGGTATCTACCAAAAGTTTAAGATACTGATAAACAGAGATCAAAAGAAGTCAAAGTCTGCAAGCAGTCCAAATGTAAAACTTGACATGTAATCACCCCACAACGAGTAAACATACACACACAGACTTGCAAAATAGTATTTGGCATACCTGTTTGAAACAATGTAGAGGGGCAGCTATTGATTCAGTCTCCTTCAGATAATCATCCCAACTAAACTGTTCTGAAAGATATAAAGACCAAAAAAAAAGGACAGTTTTGAAAGGGAACATAAATTAAGAGGTGAGCTGGGAAAATGGAGAGCAAAAAACCCAGCCAAATATCTGTAGAATATTTTTGTTACCCCAAGAACAGCATTACAATAAAATGAAAACTTAATAAACTACACAGCTTTTGAAGTAGCTTTAAGAGTCAACAGGGGAATCACACAACAGGAAAATATGCATATCTACAAGTTCTTCTTTTTGTGCCCCACATTTACAGATACAAGTCAGGATACCTAGATTCAATTCTCAGCACATTCCTGTAAAAATCACTTCAGTGCTTTTGCATCTTAGCTCCCCATCACTTGAGCAGTGGGAGGAACAGCAGCACTGCTACAGTAACTTCAAAGGACTGGTTTAACAATACACAGTAAAAACCACAGACACTTAGCATCTACTGAAATATACGTTGAGAATCAGTATCCCCAGTCCACTATAATCAAAAGAATCAGCATTACGTTCCAACAGCACCTTTGTTTCTTTTCATGAGAAGTTTGATAAAGGTTCCTCTTTGTAAGGTGAATACTACAAGATAAAAACTACCATAGCACAGCTAATGTTTTTGTCCGTAAATCATCCAGATGACCTCCTTTGCTTATTTTCTGTTTGGGCAGCTGGAATCTATCTGATGTTCCTGTAAAGCAGATCATAAATGAACCCCAAAATAGTGCAACGCTGCCACCCAGTGGTTCAATCAGCGATAACTTCACAGAGCAAAATCTTCACAGCGGTGGAGAAACTGCATTGTGCCTGCCAGTAAAAGCACTACTGGACAAACACAGTGCCTCAAGCAGAAGAGAACCATCCTCTTGATCCACTAAGATCTTCAGTTTTTGGCACAGCAGCCTCAAAAGGTTATGAAGGATTGGTCCTTGACTCTGCAGAGGGCATGCAGTTGTTAACTAAGTAACAAGTAAAAAAATAATTCAAAACTTGATAATTCAGCAAACTGAACTGCAGTTAGGCTGGTAACAAAGATATTTTCATAGGGCACCTTGGAAGCCTGTATATTTTGTCATAAAAACCTTATTTACACATTTATACACTTGCACTGATTTTGTATTATTCACAAAAGGTATTAACTTTAAAAATGCATTAAGACACTTTTAGGAGGGTATGTTTAGGAGGGTATGTTCTGGAAATGGTCCTTCAGACTATTCCTAAGAAACCTGCCTCCAGATCCATTGCTCCTTTCTTTGAAAAGCCATGGAGGACACAAATACCAAAAGTAATAATTAACTGCTTTCTAAGCCTCACCTTATAAAAATAGCCTTTGAATCTAAAAATAAAATTGCCACTATCGATTGACTTGTGATTAAAAAATTATTTTTCAAAGTAAACTTTAATGTACTCGGTTCAATAAAATTAACCCAGAGGTTAATTTCACACAGGGGGTGGTGATGCACTGGAACAGGTTGCCCAAGGAGGCTGTGGATGCCCCATCCCTGGAGGCATTCAAGACCAGGCTGGATGTGGCTCTGGGCAGCCTGGTCTGGTGGTTGGTGACCCTGCACACAGCAGGGGGTTGAAACTGGATGATCGTTGTGGTCCTTTTCAACCCAGGCCATTCTGTGATTCTGTGAACCCTACCAAAATGTTAATTATGTTCCAGCTATTCCAGCTCTAACTTGATACAATATTGTAATTACGAACCACAGCGCTGTTGTGGTAGGACCAGGCAATGTAGATACTTCAGAGAGCACGTTCGAAGAGGAGGGACAGCATTTACATCCTCTGAAAATACTGTATCTCCATAGCTGCATTTCCCAAAATGATTTTAGTTGTTATAACAGGACTTTAAATTTGGTGGGATGTCCAGAAAGTACAGAGGAAAACAAATGGGTTTGCTTTTCAGGGAGTATTTGCTAGAAAGCCATACAAGGTAACACAACAGCCAGCTGCACCTAAAACCGTAAGGAAAACAATATTGCCTTGCTCCTTGCTTTAAGTGCAGGATATTAGAAACCCTTTCCTCAAGCATAAATGACCTAGTTTACATTAGGACCACTCCAACTGTGAAGATATGCTACAGAAAAGCAAGTGTCTCGGATACAGAGCTACTTATCATTTAATTGCTGCAGTCATAGAAAAGAGAAATGAAAGAATATCTCAACGTGTAAGATGGTTACTTAGGAAGACAGTAACATGGAAAAAAAAAAATCTCTATCCAAAAATCTCTACCTAAAAAGTAAAGAAAGAGTTGTTTTCTACATATTTCTAATTCTAAAGCCCCTGAAAACACACAACTTCTGAGAAATTGAAGAGAAAATTAGTTCACACTGAATGATTTAACATGCATTCTCCTTCCCACTCAACCTGTAGGCTGAATTAAACAGCTTAAGAAAAACTGTCATGCAACAACACAGACAACTCTTGCAACCCACGAGCAAAGTGAAAATGAGAGAGAAAAAGGAATTTTCATGCTGAAGAACAAATCAGCATATATTGGGAATGAGGAAAAGAAAAAAAAATAGAAAAAAACAAAAAACAAAACAAAAAAAAGCCTGAAGGTAATCAGGACATTTTGTAAAAAAAAATTAGGTAGTTTATAGCCAGCACAGGAGTGGGATTCTAAACAGTGATCCAAGACCATCAGCATGCCCAAACAGCCTCATTATTTAAACAAACAAACTAACAAACAACAAAAAAAAACAAAACAAAAGAAAATAAGTTTATGCCACAGTTGCCTACAATAGCACTGGTTTACAGTCAGTGCTCTGTGGGTTAACAGTACTTGCTGTCTTGCTATTTTTTCAATTCTGCGCCAAATCCCTACCACTTCTGGAGAGGCTTTGCCCATTACAAACTAACTTAAGCTACTAGAAGGGACCCTAGGATGCCTCCAGTTTGGCTCCTCAGAGCAGGTCCCATCACAGCAAGGCTTGCTGAGCTCTGAGTATCTCAGGGAAACCTCTCTGGGCTCCTCTTCTTGGGTTTGATCATCCTTCACGCAAAGGTTTCTTTCCTCACAGGAAGCAGGAATGTCTCACGTTCCCATGAGTGAAGACAAGATGACCTTCCATTGTGTCTCAGAATTGCATCTGGCCAGATTTTCTTCACAGTCAGCTGTCAGGCAGTTGAAATTAGCAAGGTGATCTCCTGTAAGCTTCCTCTTCTTTCAGCTGTGCAAATCATCAGTCTTCTGTTTACATCTTGTGCTTCAGCACTTTCATGCTGTTGGTGGCATCGAGCATGTCAACGTCTTCTTCACACTGGGGAGCTCAAAACTGAACAGGGTTCTCCAGACACAGTCTCACAGACACCCAAAAGGAGCCAACTTCTGTCAGCCTGCAGCCCACATCTCTGCTAACACGACCACGCATGCAGTTCATTTTACAACCACAAGAGCACACTGCTGGTTCATGCTCTGCCTGCAGGCTGGCAGCACCCCAGTGGCATCCCATCTGGTCCCATGAACGTGTGTGAATGCCGTTTTTTGGAGTGTACCCTAATTGTATCTTCTTCTACTGCACACACTACTTTAGTTTAGTTTGCATCAAAGTTTGACAAATTTTAAATTGAAGACTCAAGTGTAACTTGTAAATAAGTACAGTTCAAGCGTTATTTTTTTTTAGTTTAATATAGTATTATCACAGTCTAAATCCTGTTTAAACAGATGAAGCACCTTGTGCCTTCTCATTTCATCCCTATGTTCCCCTAGTATGTATCTGAGAATTCTGATCCGAATGTGCATATTTTCTATTCTTCTTCCCACCACCCCTCTTTGACAAAGATGAAGTTTCCTTTTAATTGTTTTATACACTACTGCAAACCTGGCAGGTAACTGTAAGGTACTTCATATCCTTCTTTGTACTTTGTATTCTTTTCTTATGTTGGGATCATTCAGCCAGTTTTTCTACTCTTGCCTTTCCCTACCAACTGCAGTCTTTTTTTTTTTTTTTTTCTTTTTTTTCTCTCTTCCCACACCAATGCATCCTTTTCACTGGCCAGAAGAGGTCTCTTCTTTCTGGCCACCAACAACAAATAACACAGGATAAAAACTATCATCTAATCTATAGCTAATCAGAGATCCTAAGCAAGGCACTCCTCTGTAGGTGTTTGTCAGAGTTGAGTCCAGATTTCATAAGCAAATTCACTGCTCAGATGAAAAGCATAGTCTCGAGTGGAAGAACTCAGAGAACAGAACAAGGCTTGCCTGCTTAGCACTATTCCTACCCAAAGTTTTTCAACATACTGTTCTCTAGTGCAGAAAAAGACAAGGAAGTTTTATAGTGACTCAGAAATACAGTTATCTTAGTCATACAAGAACAGCACTTTGCTGGTGGGGGCTGTCTCACGGGGCTCCATCTGTCATGTCAGACAACATTTTTTAAAATACAGACATGCCATTCGAGTCCTCCTGTGTAAACTCCTCTTACACAACTGGAGAGGGGAAGAGAGACACTTTAAGTCATGCAAAGAAGGGCATTCATAAGAGAGAAGAAACTACCACTGATATGCTCCCAAGAAATGGAAGAAAGAAGTCTGACAAATGTAACTGCAGAAAGCATTACTACGGCTTCCAGAACCAGGATATCACATCTTTATGCAAAAAGACATCGCCTCAACTACCCAGTTATGTTGTTAGTCTCTCACCATGTTCAAAGATATAGTTCCTGACATAGTCAATAACACAACTTCTCAGGTGGCATGAAGTAAAACCTCCGACCCAGACCATCCACTAGGAGTCAGATGGTATGGAAATGTAAGAAGAGCGAAAGTTTAAGTAACCCAGTGATATTTTCCTAACAACTAAGGATTCTTAAACAGATATTCTACTTCAGTCAACAGTACTCATGACATTTCTCACTGCCTCAAACTCAACCAAAGCACATGCATGAAGAGCATATAAGGATGCTGCTTCCTACTGCACTTCACAAAAGTGAAATTGCCAACATTTCCACATATTTCCCAACAGCCCGACGTATATGTCAGCCTATGGCACCTACTGAGGACAACAGAGATTGTACAAGTTTACAAGAAGTTGGCTTGTTTTTGACAACTGTGTAGCTTTCTTCAGTTCATCATCAATAAACTGTTGATTTGAAAACAGAATTTATTTAAAGTAAAATTAGAAACTCAGGCAATTTAATCCAGTTAGCAACATTAAGATCTCAAACTATTAAAACTGAAATTCAACTTTTTTGGTAAGAGCAAGCATTAATGAAAGAGAAGGTAACTGAGGCAAAAGAGGCATTCAACAGGAGCATACATCATCAGAAGAACAAGGAAATCAGTAAATGATCTTTAAAAAGTGTTTATATTTACACAGTTTTTGATTACATATATCATGAGTACTTGTCTGAGCTAATAAAATCGTCAGATTCAAGCCAAGCAGTTTCAACAGTCATTTGCTACACCAGAACATACTTTGCTAACAGTGAGACAAAAGCAATTGTATGTTTTTAACGAGTCATCAGTTACAGCCAAAGAGACTGAAGGAAAAAAACAGTCTCAAGAGACAGACGTTCCAAATATACTTTTCCTTTTAGGTACCTTAACTAATAACCTGACAGCTGCAATACCTACCACTTTTTAAAGACGGGTTGTTTGCCTGCTGATTCTTTCCATCTTTCTCTTTTTTAATTTCCTTTGAATCTAAAAGACAAGATTTCATTACTTCATAAACGTAATACTCTCATCATAATAACATCCATCATAACACAGAATACTTTCAAACAATAGAGAATCTGTCATTCCAAAGACTTTGTTTTATCTATTTCAGGGGATAATAAAAAGGTATTTGTAATACAAATTTAGTGACCACATTATTTTTCTTTCAAAATATACTGAAAAGTACAGCATGAAAAGATATAGATATAGGAGGAGTAGAATAAGAATAGTCTTCTTTCATCAGTCCACAAATCCTCCACCACAGCTCAGTGAGGAGACAAGTTAGGCCCTGGGCTCTATGCAGGACAGGACATGGCATTCTCCTGCCAGGTCACAGCACAGTCCATGGACTCCCAGGGAAGGAGTGGCAGTCAGGGCTTGTCGTAACCACCCCAGCACAGAGCAGGCACCAGGGCAGTCCCAGCAATGAAAACCTCCCTGGGGACAGAGTCAGGCTCAGTTGGGCCACGGGCCCAGCAGAGGGCCATTGACCATGGCACGGCAGAGCTGCAGGGCACCAGAGCCTGCTGCTGTGGCCTTGCTGGGGAAGGGGCTGGCAGTACCAGGGTGATGTCAGGGCGTGTGCTGGTGGGGAAGAGGACCTAGGTGAGGTTGGTCAGGGCCCTGAAGTGCACTCAGGGGTGAGACACTTCACAGATATAAAATGGATAAAAGTACCTGACAGGGTCCCAAAGAAAAATCCTTACGGAGGGCTGGACCAGCTGCAGTACCTGTGGATGGTGCCCACGGAGCTCTAACCTAGGTTCTTGTTCAGCAGTGGACACTCTATGTCCTGACAGCTACCAGTGAGAAAGCAAGAAGGGACTCACACCACTTACAAGAAGACATCATCACTGCCTTCTTCCTACAGTTCAATATATATTCTATCCAGTCTTTTTGAGACTGAACTGAATCCAGCCAGTTTTCTACTGGGTGGTAGTAATCACTAGAAAAGCTTTTTGCCATGTTTTACAACTTCTGGTACTCAGGCTTTCAAAAAATAAGAATACAAAAAATCATGGGACTGTCAGAGACATCAGGCTGACAGCTTACAGAAGAGAAAGCTTCCCGATGCACTTATTTCTGAAGGGGAAATTCAATGGAGTCCCACATGAGAGTACTGAAGAATAGAACCAATAACTGCATCCTGCAAAGACCAAAACTTGAAAGGACAGTCATGAAAGAACATCTCCCCTACAGCGCCAGATTTCAAACAAGATGACAGCCTTTCATGAAAAGAGAAATCAACAACAGGTGAAAGAATGTGAAAAACCATGGCCTGGACACCAGATGAGTTTTCACTGACAACTACCACACAAATTATTTATTTCCTGTATCAGTTTGAGTCACTGCCTATCTCAAATAGGAACACTGAAATGGAACTCTGTCAGTGACACATTCTTCTTAAAATCAGCCATTAAAAAAAAACTATAAGAACAAACCAAGATTAAGATGTTAACGAAAAGAAATGGATTCCTTAAATATCTCTTTAATCCAAGCTAGAAGCATCTTAATTTATAATAAACTCAAGGTACCATCGTTATCACTTGGTTTTGATGGGCAGAAAGCTGTTCTTTAAAACACTCAGGCAAAACATACCTAGTACATGCAGAAGCATCCAAAAAAAAAATCTGACTAAAACCAAAATTGTTTTTCTAGGCTCCCCTTGCTTTTATGCATCCCAGCTTTTAATGGTGAGAAGATCACTACAAAGTTGGAGCTATTTTATCTAAGCAGATGAAATACCATTAACTGAAGGAATTGCTAGCCTGTTTTTGCTTGAGATACCTGGAATCTGCTACCACCTCCCACTCAGAAAGGATTTCCTTAGACTATGCTTTACCGATGCTAAGATGCTGTGGTCTGGTGTGCCTCTTCCAATGTCATTAGCCAGAGCAGATAAGAATTTATGGCCTATTTTTATAAGGAATATTAAGGAATATAAGATCTATTAAAATCTAAATGTATAACTATGAAATAAATGCCTTTAAATGTGCCAATGTACATACATCATTTGGACACCCAAATTCTAGAAAATTCAATTTCAAAAGATCATTGAAAACAAAATTAAGACATGGAAGACTATTATGTCAAATACCTGGATTGAGGAATATGATTCCTTCAGCATTATGAGCCTCAGTTTGGGAAAACTTTCAGGTCAATCCTCAAAAATGAGGTTGCAAAGGTCCCTAATATTTCTATAGACACAAAGAGTATTTTCTTTTCATCTCCTTCAGCTAACTACATTCAGTGATTTATTCCCTTCAAGGCAGGAAAGTGTACTTGAAAATGGGAACTTTTTTTGTATGTTAGAGACAGCAGAGACTTATTAGTTCTACAGTCTTGAAGGTCACGGTGAACAAAGCAAGTTTAATTCATTATCTATCTTCTCTGTCCAGAAAGTCCATTTTCAAAGGACAAGCTTGTTTTTATCTTTTCCAGTTTATTTGAGTTTACTTTAGTCTTATAGCATATTTCAGATCATTTTGTCAAAAAATAAACAAAAATGAAATGCTGCTACTGTGGATTTAATTATATGCTATTCAGTTTTCCAAAAAAAAAAAAAAAAAAAAGAGAAAAGAAAAGAATGAAATACCACTTTCAACCAAAGTGTTAAACACCCCGTAGTATATTTTATATACTATTATATAAATAGTACATAATATATACAAATATAAATATATATTATATATATAAATATATAAATACAAATATAAATATACTATTTATATAATATAATAATAGTATATTTATATGCTATTATTTATATATATATAAACACAGAGAGTTGTTACATTCACTATGCAAACAGGTAGCATATAATACATCCGTATACATAATTCACAACGTATATATGGGTAGCCTATAATACATAAAGGCTAAACAGGAATTTTCAAAACCTTGCAAAAGAATGTTTTCATCTTGGTAGCATTTACTAAAATTAAAAAGAAGTACATTCTGTTATTCACTGAAATAAAAGCTTTTTGACAGCACACATCATAAACTACAGCAGTACATATGCAACAAGTTTGTAATAAATTATTTAAAATAGTGCTTTCTGCTTACTGATTCAAAACTCTGTGTTTACATTACTACACCCTATCAGTAACCACAGAATTCTTCTGCTGATAAGATTATTCAACAAAAGACAGGCAAGAGTAACCACATCTATCATGCAAAAAAATAGAGACAAAGAAGAAATCAGACAAAGTTATCTTTACTGGCTTGTAAATGTGGGCAAAAAAAAAACCCAAACAAATAACAATCAGAAAAGGTATCTGCAGAATATAAAGTCTGGGAAAGATGACTCTGGTGGCCAATTTACACTTCCTCTTACAAAATCCTGTGCTGAACACTAGCTTCCTCTTTGATATACTTAACAAATCCGAAACACTTATTTCTGGGAAGAGTTAACCTTTCAGCAAACAAGATGATTTTTCGTCTGTACACCAGCAAGCATCATCTTTTTTGCTAGCATTTATGTTTCACTGTTGCATGCTACACGAGGAAGCATGCGTTTGTCATCTAAGACCTCATATTTGCTTGCTGTCCAACGTGGTGAAAAAAGTTCACAGTCATGCTTTCAAGATACGCACGGCTATTTCTTAGCCATCTTAAAGTCTTCAACTCTAGCTTGTGTTCAAAACATACCAGGAGGCTACTTTTCTAAAAAACATAAAATCCTTCTTCTCTTTCAGATGGACATGAAACACCCCACAGTTACAGAAACATTTACTCTGCCTATGCCAAGCAGTTGCTCACCTTTATATGAAGTTCGCTAAAAAAAAAAAAAGCCCAGGATTTACCACAGATCAGCAAGTTGCTTTCAGTCCCCAACATATAGGGATGTGAGCATATTTTACCTACCCTTCACCAAACCTCAGTGCACACAGCTAAGGTTATCAAGAAAGAGTAAATCTAATATGCCTCCTTCCTTTTCCTTTTGTGCTTTCCCACTGGGATTCTTATCTGCCCAGAACAGAGTGTTTCTTTCAGTACATTTAGAAAACAGCCATGCAGAAAAGCTACAAGAGAAGGGGGCAGACTTCCTCCATAAACTCTTGGTGCAACAATTAAAGAGATGACTGCTGTCATTACAGAAAATCTATTTAGCAAAAGACAATTATTTACCAAGGGAGCACATGAGCACTGAAAGCAGCTTGGGCAGAAGGTGGACAGCTCAAGATAAGTTCATAAGTGTTGGGGATCTTTTATAACGGAAAGCTACCCATCTGAAAGGTTTGGAAAACAGCAGCAACATGGTTTCAAGTGGGCCTTCTTGCTTTACATTCTTTTTGCTTCACCAACCCAAACACACTTCTTAGCACTCGCACATTTTAGCACTCAACTCACAGTAACTTCTGCAGACACGATACAGCACAAATCACACCTTCATAATACAGTGCCCACATCATGGGCAGATTTATTTTAAAAGTGCCCATTTTATCTTCAAAAGCCTGCAGAAAACAGCAGCTAACACTGTTAACTGCAGTTAAAATTTATTCCTTGCACTACTCAGTTGTTCCTCTCCTAATTTTGTGCAGATACAGAATACAGCACTACATTTCACTTAATATCACATCTAGGCATGTTCTTCAATTTTAGAGCAGTATAGTGACTTCAAGACTGTCACAGGTCAAAATTCTCTCGGTTGAACAGTACAGAACTCCAGGATAACTTGAATTCAGCATACGTACTCTAAAAAAATGTAAAGTTTAAACCTACCTGTGTTCAGTATCTCTCCTTTTTAACTTCACAGTATATTAATTGACAAATAATAACTCGTCACCTTAGAAGTTCCCTGTTTCCTCTCGGATAAAAGTTATCAGGCCTCACCTTTAGTCGTGGTTCTCCCCATGGTAACACTTGTGTGATCTTCCCTCTCACAATAAAAAGGCTGAAGTTGAAAGACCAGTTAATTCTTCCTTTCAGTACAACAGTTTCCTGTGGAGTAATAATACAACAAGTTAGGGGGAGGTTGTTAGAGTTTGGGTCTTCTTGTTCTGGAAAGAAGGATTTTGTGTGTGTGTGTTGTTTTACAATTATCTTGCCGGTTTAAGGTTGCAAAAGTTTAACAAGCTATTTGTAGAAGAACAGCATGTAAACAATGGATGTGTCAAAGCAGCAAGGGTAGGTAAGAACCTAAACTTCTATTTCATTGGTTTAGGAGGTTTGTTGTATAATGATTTGCATTCGCAGCGAGTTTCTAATACAAAGAAAGACATAAAACATTCTTTTTTTTCCTGTTTTCCCCAACAAACATTACTGCAAACAGGAAGAAAGACTTTAATGCATCACCCACTTACGTGCAGAGAGTTTAACAACCACCACTTTAAAAAGCCCTGGATAAAAAAATGCTCTTTCTGAGCTACAGGGGAAGGAGGAACAAAACATAGATGTAAGAAATCTACACAAAGGCACAATTGCTCGCTGCATCTGCTTGCTGGTCGTAACCACTTACAGCAGAGCTGGGAGAAGCCATTAGAGGAAGCTAACTGCAGATTCACACACTCTTGCAGTTCTTGGAAACTACAAGGGACAACTCAGTGAAACCATTTTAACACAGCAAAAACATTTGTGTGTGTTACTTCTACTCCAGAATGTAGTTTTGGGAATTCTGACTGCATTCAATCCAAGACAAACTCATTTGAAGCTTTTTATCCCTAAAGCAACAAAATCAGCAAGTTCACTTGACATTATTCAAAATAACAGCGCATAAAAACATGTAGATCACTCTGAAAGTAATGCTTCCTATTTATCTCCATGACAACTACAACTGATACAAAGAGCACAACAACACTATTTGATAGAACAAATTCTCAGCTACAAAATACTCTTTTGCAATGGTTCCCCCCATTGTCACCAGTGATGAACAAGAGCCTGCGTGCTGCGCTCATAAAAATCTGCACCAGTGGAGGTGGCCTGCTGGAACACACCACCCACTGCCTCACTGTGCTCACATCCACTGGTCGGTCTCCATCAGCGTTCAGCAAGCGTCCACAAATGTGAATAGGTGCCATTTTTTCTGCATGGAGGAATTCAGTTACACACCTGTGCTCCATACGTACTTCCATGTCAGACGCCATTTTGTCTCTGCCGCCATCTGTCACACAGCAACAACATCCATCGGCGCATTGGCGGGAAGGTTTAAACTGCACTGCTGTACCACCAACATCCACCTCCGATGTCACAGGCCGACATCATAAAACATGAGGCATTCTTTCACAGCAGACCTTGTACATTCACATTTGTGAACTCCCTTCTTTGATCACTTCCTTTCAAGGAAATTCCATGAGCTCAGAGTTTATATCATCAACAGCTCATGATTATTATTTTTTTTTTTTAATTTAAGTAAGTCAGTACTTTTTCAAAGATGAATTTTGCCAGAAGTCACATTTTTAGAAACCATATCTTTCTAGTGTCATTAAAAACAACAACAACAATAGTTGAAAAGCAAGATATCTACTTACCGAAAAAAGAAAGACACCAATACTGCATACAGTAAGAGGCGTGTTATACAGACAATTATATTCCTGGAAACAGTGAAATTTCAGTGAAATTCTGAGGAACTTGTACACTATGGTGGTAGACTCTATGATGAAAACTTCACACAGGGCAGGTTGTGTTGCTAAAAATAAGTATGATTTCTGAAAGTCCAATGACTGAAGAACGTGTTTCATGTGTTGGCAGTACACAAACGTGCTGGATATTCATTACGAAAACTCAAGGAACTGAGACTTGAAAGCAGTTATAAATAAAACCGAGCACCGACATAAAGTAAGCTGGTTTTGCTACACAATGGCACTCACGGCATAAGCGATCATCAGGATTAAGAACAGAAATCCTTTTAAGACATCAAATAAATTTGAAATACTTGATGCTTTCATAGACTCCCCCAAAAATTCAAAGCTTTTCCGCCGTGAGTAATAAATTGCGAAAGGTGATACGGAGTCAAAGTAACTGTTTTTACAGATTACTTTAAAACAGCGCATGGTTTTTATCTTTTTGTTCCAAGCACCAGATTGCACTTGGTGCAGTAATAAAGATTCCAAGCCTGCAGTGATAGTCATCAAGTTTAGCACAACCGGAGTGTCTGTCAGGACATAAAAAGGATTCCAGCGTTTCATTAGCCCCTGCTCCAGCAGATAGGCGTTTTTACAGCATGCCCACCAGCCTGTTAAAAATACAAGGCTACAGAAAGCTTTGAGAGCGTGGGCTGAACTATGGGTATACGGGGTATTGCTGTGTGGAATAGGTGCTGCTTAAAGCCTGATCACACCTACAGCATTCAACTTGCAGTCTCTACTACAGTAACTGGTAGGCAGAGACAGTGGTCGCAGAAGACATTCGACCACGATGTTTCTGAGTCTCTGACAACTGCTGAACAGTAGCCAAAAGAAACCAGCTACCTCCAAAACAGTAGGGTCAGTCTGAAAAGAAGGATGAGCTTCTTCACCGGGGCAGTCTGAGGGGCATCCTGACACTACCTTGAGTGATAATGCAGCCAACAGCTAGCAGTCACCTCCTCTGCTGCCCAAGGTGGGCCTCAGCCCTCACCAGCACAGTGGGCATGGTGTGGTGGGCTGGTGGTTGGACTAGATGGTCTTAGAGGTCTTTTTCAAACTTAATGGAAAGCTGAGCTTAAGAAATTAATCAAGTAGCTTCAAGAAGAAAAAAAAAGAAAAAAAAGCATGAACACTAAATTCATCATAAAAATATAGAGAAGATCTCCATATTTATATTGATCAACTGTATCACTTACACCATTTACTTCTCAATTCATCCTGTAAGCTGAGTTTTATTCTTTCTCTGATTAAACTTCCCTAGCATCAGCTACTTTAAAAAAAAACAACCAAGCAAGCAAAAAATGGAAACCAAACCAACACGAACAGGTGGAAAGCATTCACCTCCCTTTAATTCCTTACTGCAGTGTTTATGCTAATAGCCGTGTCTCTCCCAGCAGCCAGTTCCCCTGCGCCAGCCCTTTGTCAGTGGGACGCACTGTCAGATGAATCTCAGCCTTCACCTCCGTACATTGCTGCTGCACAGCGCTAGGGGTCATCCTGTTTGCTGGGAAACATTTTTGTGTCTCACATTGCTCTTCTAATTTTGAAAGAATTACTCTAAGGACACACATTGCTGCATTTCTAAGAAGCCGGTATTTTATAGAAGACATCAAATTGTTCTGTTTTCTCCCGACCACATCTCCATTATCTTTCCAGGCATTCGAGCGAGCTGAATGTCCTGAAAAAAAAGAAGTCATGCATATTTAGGGCTTCCTAGCACAGGTTTATCTTGACAGCACGTCTGCTCATAAAAAGCACACAGTGTGGGATTACGGAGATAAAGGGAACATTTGAAAGCAGCCTGAGCGCCCAGTGGATAGCGAGCTTAGCATCACCAAACGAGTTACGGTGCTTGTGTCAGGGACCGCGCTGCTCGGCCTGGAGATAAGACAGAGACAGTGATCTCTGAGGCGTGCAGAGTCCAAGCAGCAGGACTATGCAAGGGCAAAGCAGGACTGCAGTTCTGGCTCCTCACAAGGAGCTAAACTCCTTCACAATTATTGTTTCTGAACAGGGAATATTTTATTTCACCTACTCCTCTATTCACCTGTCATCTCTTAAACACAAGCACTGCTTCACACCATGTGCACAAGTCCCAGAGGCCTGCAAACAGTCAAATATACAGAATAAGGCTACAAAGTATACTGCTGTAACATTCGATACTTCCAAATCTCCTGGAAGATCTCCTTCCAGGCAAGTTGCCCAGTGCACAGCCTCACGCACACCTCAAGACTCAACAGCGTACACCTCTGCATTTCTGCAACGGGAGCCATCCACAAACACTTCCAGGAACACACACTGTGGCACCATTATAGAAAAACAACATCTCATAAGACAAAAGAAAAAACAACCTTACAATGGCACAAATGAGCCACACGATTACAAAACACAAGCTCTGCAGCTGTAAATCAGTGAGACTTGGCATCACACATTTCAGAGTTCAACACAAAACCTAGAGCTGAGGTTTCCTTTCATTTATGCACACACATCTATAACCGGTTGGTGCTCTGACAAGAAACATGATCCAACTCAGAATCCCCTTTCTTTCACATTTTCTGCAATAATAAATAAATAAAAAGTGAGGATTTTTCCAGGAAAGGAAATTAAACTTCCACATTTTCCTATGGCAGAACTTCTAAAGAAATGGAGAGACCAGAAACCCTCTCTTAGCATAGCTCAGAGAACCCATCCTTTGGAAAAAATCACAGGCTTCCAAAAGAGCCAATGTTAGCCAGCCGCATATACAACTGAGTGAATATTTCTTAAGCTGGTGAAGGAAGGGAGTAAGTACTACTGCTTTACAAATATCATTTTGTAACAACATCAAGAAGAAATTTACTGCGATTCGAAAACTGCTTGGAAATTGACCGACAGCGTACCGCTCACTATTTATGAAGTGATCACATTACCAAACTTCTAAGCTGTCAGCAATAAAATATTGTTTGTAACCGTTCTGGCCTCCTTGCAGGTAAGTTTACGATCTGCTTTGGATGTGAGCAATTGTAATTATGCATTTCAAGACAACAAAATCATGAACTCTCAGTCTGTACGAGGTATATATTATTGCACACAGAATCAGGCATTGTACATCTTAAAAAGCGATGTTAACAAGGTTTAGACCACAAATTTGTCCCCAGAATTCCTGAAATGAGAAATATATACTTATCAGTGTGAACAGCAGAAAAGTTAAGTCTCAGGGGTAAATAACATAGTTAGCATCAAGCGAAAACAGAAACATCTCACATCACAGACATTCAACATTTACTAATTTGACATTGGTATTAAAGTTAAGAGCCACTCCATGGCTACTGATGGAAAATAAAAATACCTTCTCTCCGCTCGCCCCCGTCCTGCTTTAAAAGTCAGACGATGTGGGGC